TTTCTACAACCACAAATAATTCATAATCTGAACGTACCAATGAGCATTAGATGACATATAATTCCTAAATTAACAATGGGTCAAAATTTTCATATTAATAAAACATCTCTGATAGATACAAAAATGACATTGTAGTTGACGGCCTTGATCTTGCTAACAAGATTTGATCTTGTTCTTTAGCAATTCATGAGCATATTTGGCACATAATCATGATTTCATTCCAGAGTAGTTGTTGGGTTCAAAGAACATTAAGCTAGCAGATCAATATGAAGTTGCTAAAGTCACATCTTGCTATGGAGATCGTGATTTTCTTTTTTACTCTGGCACCGCGTTTTTGTCGTGTTGATTTCAGCGGCTTTAATTTGGCGATTTTCTTATGGTTTGTTGAGTTTTGATGCAGATTTTCTGGTTCTGTTTGGGTTTGCGACAAGTTGTAGCCGGCGGGATTTGGGCGAGATGGCCAGCGGCGTCTTGGAAGCGAGGTTTGGCCGGCAGTGCCGGGAAGAAGATTTTAGGGCTATGTTATTAAAATAATTTTGGAAGAAATTTTTGTAAAGAAATGATTTATTTATAATTTTTTTTAATCCAATTCTCAATATAATATTTCACTCAATTTAAGTTTAAATATGATAAATATTGTATTTATCAATAAATATTTTACTGAATTCAATTCTTAATCTAGTAAATTTTGTATTTACTAGTAAATACTTCACTGAACAAGTTTGAATCTGGTAAATATAGTATTTACTAGTAAATACAATATTGACTAGTAAATACGGTATTTAGTGGTTGCTAATGTCGGCGCCTGGAATTTTGAATAAATTTGTTATTTACTAATAAATACGGTATTTACCAATTACCAGAGTCGTTCGTTGGATTTTAAAAAAAATATGGTAAATACAATATTTATCAGTAAATATGGTATTTACCGATAAATACTGTATTTACCAGTCGCCGAAGTCATTCGTCAGATTTTCAAAAAAATTATGATAAATAGGGTATTTACCAGTCGCCGGCAACTGCCGGTCACCGGTTGCCAGTGACGACTGCCGGTCACCAATCGCCATCGAAGGCCACTGGTCACCGGAGCTAGCTGCCGGTTACCGGTGCTGGTCATAGTCTTCTTATTTTAGAAAAATATAATATAATATCCCTATTTTTAAAAAATGTTATAATTTATTATTTTTAAAAAAATAATAGAGGTTTAGGGAGAGGAAAGAGATGGAAAAAAAAGTTTAGGAGTACTTTTAGTTTTCTAATGATATTTAAAACTTAAAGTATCAAATTATGTTATAATTAATCTATTTTAAAAAATATATATGTTATAATTTACTAAATGCCTACTAAATGCCTACTAAATATGCTATTTCTCTCCTTCTCCCATCTAATAATTTCCCTAGCAAGTATATATATGTAGTTACTAAATATGATGCATTTTATGGAATTTTTTTAGGGCATCTAGTAGTTTATAGTAGTGAATAAAGGGAAAAAAAGTACACCTAAAAGTGATCATGGAGGAAGGAAAAAAAAAATTCACATAGAATCAGATTTCTAGAATTTAATACGTGGCTATATTTTCTATGACTGAGTTTGCTTTGGACATACAATTACTATTTACCAGTAAAATGCTAGATAGAGAAGAGTATAACAAATATACTACAACAAAAGAAAAGGGTCTGACGCATAAGTTATGAAAAAAGAGGGGAATTTTTTTTTTTTTTTATAATAGACAAGAAAGAGAGAGAGAAGAGATTAGCAAAATCAATATTAAATTTAATTTATCACAGTTTACCTGAATCCATTGTATCCCAAATCAATGGGTGTGTTTGATAAGAGGATTCGTATCTTGATTCAAATCATGATTCATGGTTCGCTACAGTATTTTCTCTCACAAAAAATACACGTCAATCAAAAATAGTTCTAATCTCATGATTCTAATCCATGAACCAAACGTTTCCTAAGAAAGAGAACAATAAACTACGGCTTCTCTCTTTCTTTTTCCCAGCACAAAAACGGAGAAGGAAGAACCAATCTTGATTTATGCCTTAGATCATGTGAAACGGAATCCCAAACCCTATTAATAAATGAACATCCCTAACCTCTTTTTATAATAATCGAAAGTAGAGTCCTTTTCTCTTAAGGACCACGAAAATAGAATCCTTGTTCTAATTTAACACCAATGTATCTATAGGGAGAATCCTAGTCATAATATGATTCAAAATACTTTCCTTTTTACACTAAAAATACCTTTAAGAACTCCTTCAAGAAAAAATTACTTTCAAGAACTATTCTAAAAGAAAAAAAAATTCAAAACTACCCTTTTATAATTGTGATATTTGTTTTGTTGACCTCCTAAATTATAAATGCTCCCTTATTAAATAGAGCAACTTAAACTACTTAAACAAAAGAGGCAATATTAATTTAACATTAAATTTTAAAGGTCAATTTTAGAAAAAGTTTTTAAAAAAATTACTTTTATTTTATGTTCTTTCTTTGAAATCGCTTTACTATTTTTTCAGGTGATTATCGCTATAGTTCCTTTTTTAAAGAAGGATTACAATTATAGTTGATCAGTAATATCTTTGACATTTTTTACTTTCATATGGTTTGCTTGGTTCACTGTTTCAGTTTAATTCAGTTTGAGTGGCTCCAAAGTCTAAAAATATATTTGGTAAGGACATTTGTTTGAACTGAAACTCCAGTTTAACTTAAAAAAAAAATTTTAAGAGACGTTTAGTTCATGAGTTATAATTATTTTTAATTTACGTGTATTTTTTATAAAAAAAATATTATAACGAACCACGAATCATTATTCAAATCAGGGGACGAATCTCTCAACTAAACAACCTCTAACCCTCCCTTTCAATTCTACTTTTCAAACCATTCCTCTACAGTAAACCACTCCCACCGTTTTCTCCCCTCCACTTCTGACATCTGAGGCTACTTTTTTTCTTTTTTCCTGGTCAAACTGTCTTTTTAAGCGTCAGGGCCCCTTTCAATACAAAAAATGGTATTAATTTGCCATATTTTTTATTTTTTTAATCCTACTAATTAGTCATTTGCCTATAAAATTTTTTTATCACGCTCCCAAAAAAAATTATCATTTTCAACTTTAAAATATTTATTATCAATTAGGAAAAAAAACCCAAGATCAATTTAAATTACAATTTTCAAGACTCATCTAAACACTAATTCAAATTTTATTTTCTATTCGGATTAAAAGTTTTACTGCACATCTAAACACAAGTTTGAATTACTGTTTCAACCACATTGTTCAAATCAACACAATTTAAATCAACGAACTAAACGCATACTTAATTTTTAAAAAATGAAAGAGCCAGTTTAAATAATTTAAATATTTAAATATTTGTTTTGATAATTAATGACATTTAAATATTTTTCAGAAAAATGAGTTTTATATAAAATTAATTATAAAAGTTTCTCCTGACCCATATAACACTTTCCTCCTTCATTTTTATTAATGAATTCATTAATCCCAAGTCCAAGTAGGGCTTTATAAATAATAATAATGAGGTGTTATCTTCTGTCCTGCTTTGCATTGATCTTTAAGGAGGAACACTAGATAATTATGTAAATGCTCAAAAAGAAATGAAAATACTGGTTTCAGAAATGGACTCTTCTGATTATCGAAGCCTTGAAGTTGATAATGCACCAAAACTCAATAACCGCATACTTGTTCAGAAGAAGGTAGAAATTGTTGATTTGAGTTCTTGGAAAAAAAAAAAAATTTGGAAGATCTTGCTATTTTGGCAAAGAAATTAAATAATAATCTAGAGCGAAAAAAAAAAAAAAAAAAAAAAAAAAAAAAAAAAAAAAAAAAAAAAAAAACATAAAAGCTAGTAGTGGGAAGAGTTTTTAAATTGAGAAATTCCTATGACTTTCTCTTAGGTTGCTTCATTTTATTGCTTTTGATTTATGGTTTCTTTATCTTTCATATGCTTTTTACGTTTATTCTGTAAGAATTTTTTTTTTTCTTTTCTTTCTAATAAATTTTGTACTAATTGAAAAATAGAGTAGTAAGTAAATGTGGACAAATCGGCCGTCACCTGTTAAGATTTAATATTGATATTACATATCCTATTGATCTATTCCCGTCATTTATCCTGCGTCTAAAACTGGCTTAATAATCCTCATTTTTGGGAACAGATGACTAACCCGTTTAGTTCGTTAATTTTAGTTTTTAATTCAAATTGAGATGTGATTTTATGTGAGCTTTTTACTGTAGTAAAAAAGTTAAATGTGACTGTTTCTAAGAGCTTTTTACTGTAACAAAACTTAAATTCTAAACTCGAATCGGTGAAATAAACGGGACTTACATTTGTAATTATGAAACGACGACCACAATGCAATTTCACCTTTTTCCCCCTTTCTTACTAGATTCACAGGTGAAACCAAAAGAAAACAAGCTTATGCTCTCAACAATTTGCAATTTCGTTTTCAAATATACTTGATGCACTGTCATATAATCCAGACTCCAGTGAAACATGTAAACGTTACTTGAGACATTTTCATGCAAGATAAAGAGCTTCTAAACAACATACATGTCGTGAAAATATTACCACGATTTCATGACGTCGTTAAAAAAAATCAGAAAAATACAAAACAAAAAAATTACTAAATTTATCCTTAAAGAGTGTATGAACTTAAATTTTATCTCTTACTCTTGATTAATACCTTTTTACTTATACAATTATTTGATTGAAAAAGATATGAATCAAGTATAAAAAGTAAAAATCTAAACTCATACACTTTTAAAGGGTATTTATCTCATTTCCCTTAAAACTTTATATTCTATAAAAATAGGCATTCTTTACCGTAAGACCCTAAGAAAACTCCACTGGAAGAACCCTATTTTTAACCGTTAGATTAATTTTTTAACAGTTAAATCTACAATAAAAACAGTTCTGTGGTGCGCTGTAAATTTTAAATACGGACATATACAAATCTAACTGTTACTTGAGTAGATACTTTGCAAGGGATTTACAACTACAATTGAACTTATGAATCTTTACGAAGAAGAATGTACAAATTTAAACTCGAACCGAAATGTTGAGGGGGAACAAAAATATAGACCCTGCAGGCGTTACACAAAAGCCTCAAAAAATATTTCATCAAACAAGCAAGAGATTCCACTGTAGCACCTCAACAACAAGGGTCTTCTCACACTATTAAAAAAATTAAAAAAGAAAATACAGCTGTTGAGCCAGCAAAGGCCAATCTGAGAAAAATGTCATAATCATGACGTCTACATCTTTAGCTGGTGTTATCGACAAGTGGTGCACAAAGACAACCTGTATAATTATTTATAGTGACTAGTGAGTCTTCAGATATTACGTTTTAGGCCTCGTGCTTCGCAAATTCAAGTAGTTAACTCAAATTGAAATATGTTAATTTTTTATAATTTTTAATTATAATAAAAAAAATTAAATATAATATTTTTTAAAAATTTTTAATTGTAAAAATTTAAAATTAAAAACTCAAATTGATTAAATAAATGAGATATTAATAGTTACGACTGAAACTCAGAAGAATCCATCGTGTTACTAGCATTTTCAGTCGGTTCTTGTTACACTTTTTGAACCCATTTATTTCGCGTGTTTAAACTCATGATTCTAATCTGCTACAGTACTTTTTTTTCACAAAAAATTTAAATAAAAAAAATTTATGCTAATGGATTCTTTCACAAAATTTAAATTCATAATCAAAATCACTGATTTAAACGCGTGAACTAAACGTGCTCTGGCATACTCCTCTATGCAAAACTTTTTTCATTCCTAAAGTATAGTCTAAATCCCTTATAAAACTTTCCAAAACGAGTCCCTAAATCTACTAAGGCATAATTCATTTTACCGATTCGAGTTTTGCTGCAGTAAAAAATTCTCAGAAATTGACACATTTAACTTTTTACTACAGTAAAATACTCTCATATAAAGTCACATCTCAACTCGAATCAGCGAACTAAACGGACCCTAAATTGTTCCAAATTAGTCCATTTGATCCGACAATAAAAATCTCAAAAAGAACAGTTTTCTTTCTAATAGCCGTGCCCTAAAATGTAAAATTACAAATTAACTCCCACTAAACCACACGCTTGGTCCTCACGTATTTTTTTCGTCGATATTTATAGAGTTGGGTAGACAAAAGGACTAATGTGGGAGAATTTGATAGATTTGGGGCCTTGCTTCAAGACACTTTAAAAGTCAGCTACCCAAATTTGGTCTAGAGATCGGGGACTAAAAATGAGATTTAACTCTACTCTTTTATGCATGTAAGAAAGAAACTTTTAGTGATCTTTATCAACTAAGCAAAATAACATATGAAAAAACAATTCTTTAAGCAACATCAGTTTTTATAACGATGTTACGATAATTTTACCTCAATCAATTTCGCACCCACAAGGGTTCCAAGGAGAAAGGCTTCTCATTTCGGGTATGAGGAGCAGAAGCGCAGGGTGGAGGTGCATGGACTGTAATAGGAAGAACCCACTCACTTTTCTCTCTTCCCTCTATAAGAAGAGGATGTTCGTATCTGAAGTCAAAATCCATATAAGCTTTTAGAGAGGAATGACAAAACACTCCAAATGGTGCTCTTATTAAAAGCCGAACTGTCAGCATTCCTTTTTTCTTTCCTCCTTTAAAAGAAACGTTACTATTTTCTTTTCTCACCACCACTGAGAACCTCTTAAAACCATGTTTTCACTCATTTTTTGAATTTTTGTGACAAACTTTTTTAACATTTTGATAATTTAGCAAGGAAGCGAGAAGATGTCTCAATAATTCAATGGTCATACCTGGTCCAATCAAGATTTTTTGGAGTGGTAAAGAATTCAAATCTAAGGGCCCATTGAACAGATACATGAGGAGTGGAAAAAGACATAGGCCCATCCATGGGAATGGAAAACAGGAAGCTCGTCTGCACTAAATCAGCAACAACCTCGTAATGATCACTTTGAACCTACAAATGTGCAACAGATTATTAAAATCATTAGAATGCTATTCACCAATGATTATCCAGTAAGGTCACACGGGGACGTTTTCTCTTTTCTGCTCTTGCATGAGAAGTACATGAATATACATGAAGATATATTAAATGAAAACTTTCGTCCAAATAGACTAACAACGACACCAGCATATTCAGCCATGAAGAACATAAATGCACGAAAATTTTCTTGAAAAATCGTTAAAACATATTTCAAATAAATGACAAGAAGACATTTATATCCCATGAACATGTGGTAACCATGACGTATGGCACAGAGATGCTTGTGGAGGATTATCATGTCGTCGTGGTTGCAAGATTAGAGTGGCAAGGGCACATCATATCAATACACAAAACAAAACACAATAAGATGCTCACAGCTTTCACTACATCGATAGCACTATCCAAAATCAACACTTGTAAATTTCCATAAAAGTTAATGAAAGGAATTAATATAGTATCCTTGGAATGTTCAAACAATATGCTATTTTTAAACACTAAATATATGTGTGCGTGCGTCACTAAAATTTATGCCTCTGAAAGATGAAGCATGATAGCCATTGATGCACTCTTCTATCCCAAATAAGATTCGAGACAGATCTTCGTATGAACCATCATATCATCATCAAAATAAGATCAGGAACTTTACCTTTGTGATTGTAGGGGAATTCCTTCGAGAAGGATGGACAAATCGCCGACTTATCGTTTCTGAAGTCTCTAGTGTTATTGAAACCTGGAAAACAGCAATCCCTTCATAGAGCATCATTAAATAAAACAAGCGTTCAGCTACTTTAATGATTTTTCAGTAACACTGCTACCACAACTACCTCAAGGCATCTTCTAGCTCCTTCTTCATGAAAGAAAGTAAGAGTTCCGCCAATCTGTGTACAATAGTTTGTCAAAACTGGAGAAGACAGCTGAAGGGGAAAAAGGCCATGTCCCTAAAAAGGGCCAGAAGACATACCATGTCGCTAAAATAATAAATTGACTCAGAATTTTTAGGGGAAAATCTGAGCAGAACATGGTCATCCATTCGGATATTGTAAGACCTTCCTCGAGTAAAACCTTCTGCTGCAGGAAATGTTTGCAGCAAATTAGTTTTTCAGTTTCCAGACAACAGAAACCTAATGCATTTGAAGGAAATGAAAGTGCATAAAAATACATGTTGGAGGCTCAACAGTTCTGGCTGCTGGTGATGAGGGTGCCCCTGCTTCATCATCTGCAGAAAGAGACTTTTTGAGCTTCTGCTGCTGACTTTGAGACGAGTTGGGTGACAAAATATCTATTGCAAAGATAATATGGCCCCTCAGTTACATTGTTGTTGTATCTCATACGTAAATAGTAAGATAAGGTTCTTGCTTCAAGAAACAAAACAATAAAATTCCGAATAGGGTTATTCTCACTGGTGCTCCCGGAACTTCTCAGTATTACCCCTCAAACTTTAAAAACTCTAACTTTACCCCCCGAATTTTAAATTAATCCCATTTAGCCCCCTCTATTAGAATTGTTGTTAAAAATAACGGGAAAAAGGAGTAGTGCGATCACGTAGTTTTCTGTTAGAATTTCTATCAAAAATAAATGAAGAAAGACCACGTGACCACACTTAAACCCTTGCTTTCCATCTGATTTTAAAAGAAATTCTAACAAAAGGGGTTAAGGCTAATCAAAATTCAAGGGGCAAAATGCAAGTTTTTAGGGCCCATTCGTTTCGCAATTCGAATCATGGCTCAAACTTTTTGCCACGTGTTTTCTCCAACAAAAATTCAAATTCAACTTTTTGCTACAGTGTTTTCTCTCACAAAAATTCACTTTTCAACCCAATTTCTCAATGAAGCCACAAAACAAGGCCTTAAAGTTCGGCGGCCAGATCCCAAAGTTCATAAGGCACCAGTGTGAGATTAACCCTCGCAAATACAACTAGCAAAATAACTTAATACTATGGGAAATTTTTGCAGAAAATAATTCCTCAATTGTGGGTGGCTGGAAATGTATGCTATTGAATCCCAGAGTAGCTCTAAAACACAGCAATCTCACATGACTCACCAGCACCAGAATCATATAATACTTCAGCCACAGAGAGCCGAGGAAGTGCTAAATTCAAAGACAAACTTGGACGCTCTCCTTCAAGATATGCACCATCTTTAAATGATGACCTTGCTGCATATGATTGCAAGGACATAGAACTTCCAAAGGTTCTGTCTTTCAAGGGATTGTACGAAGAAACAGATGATATCTCATCCTTGGAGCTTTCATAACCTTCTTCAATGCCATCATAAATATCGTTTGCTCTAACCTGCAAGCAAGTAGCTCAACAATATACCAAAGAATCTATTATTGAAAAAAAAAAAAAAAAAAAAGAAAGGAAAGAACAAAAGAAACATGGTGACTCTACCTGCACACACACGCAAAAAAAAAAAAAAAAAAAAAAAAAAAAAAAAAAAAAAAAGGAACAGAAATCACAGGGAAGGTGCAAAACAAATTAAAATAATACCTACCCAATCACAGTCCCCATCTGCCTCTTTCCAAAATATGTCCATTTGGATGACCGTAGAAGGAACAATCCCTGAGAGAATTGAATACAAGGATAGTTTTCAGGCAATTATTTGGCATTTGCAGAAAATAAACAGTCAGAATCTTACTGGAATTAGTAATTGAACTGAATTTTTTAACAAACTTCAGATTTGAACATGTAAGTGAAATTGCACAAAACTACTGAAAAGCTTATGTGATGCAAACTAAGGTCTATGCCTAATCTTGTCCCACCACAAAAATATCGTCGGCGGAAGGGGAAAATCTACTACATTTTATATCAATACAGATAAAGATAAGTGTTTATAAATATGTTAAAAATGACTTTACCTACAAGCCTGATATATATATACAACAAAAATTAAAAAAAACCTAGTATAAACCATAGCATTTTTTTTTTTTCATTTTCCTCTATAGAATATGAAAAATTAGGAGGAAAAGGCTGCAAGAAGTATTACAAGAGTATAATTACATTAGCTTCTAGGACACAGATAGCAGAGTACAAACAAACAGCTTCTGCTCGTGCAGCATGAGCATCTAATTCAAGCTATGAATAGAAACTAAAGTTCAATGTGAGGGCAATGCCAACAGCAAATTAATCCACAAGAATTAACTGATTTCTGCATGCTAATCAATATTATGGCATCTTCCATTAAACTTCCACCTTTTGAAATTCCATGCAGAAAATCAATTTCTAGGATATGCTGCTTAACAAAAGAATCAAAATTACACACTTAATTGGTGTCTTCTACAAGATGAATCCACCGTGATATTTGTCACCGCACCTAACAAGTTAATGATGTTTTATAACAAGTCTAGCCCAATACCCTGTCTGTATATCACTCCTTCCAGTCACGCCACCCCTCTGAACTCATGAATTTTTCCCTGGTAATTTCCCAGTACACGAAATTGAGCTCTAAAAGTTTCAAAATACCTTGTAAAAGGGAGAGAGTTTGAAAATTCCACAGTAAAGACGAGCCCAAATTCCTAACCATAAATGCTAGTGGCCAGATAGTTAGCTTCAAACCTCAACTAAGTGAAGACTGAAGATTCCTGAACACTAACTGCAATTTAACAATTTATTACAAGTGCCTTAAATGTGCTACAGAAAAACCATACATTGGGAATCTAGATTTTTTTATAGGCAGAAAACTTGTGAAAACTAGAAAGTAGAAATCACAGGTCGACATAATAATATGTCTTAAAAACCAAACCTTGGGCCTGAAATATGCAATTGATAAGCAATAGAAATTAGCAATCAAATTGAATAGCCAAAGCAAAAACTCACCATCATTTTGACCTTCTTCCACTGGCAAGCCATTGTTTTTCTGAGTGACCCATACTTGAAATGGGACACGAGCCTCCTGAACATTTAAAGTTCAAAGATCCATAAATCAAAAAGAGAACAGATCAAACCACTACATAATGAGACTTTATGTAAGCCTTGAAATGAGTGTTCTCTCTAGCATCCATAAATACCCCTGTATGTGCAAACAAAACTAATTGTTTTTTCCTTTTTTTTTCAGGATAAGCGACTGCTTTACCAAAAAAGAACCAATAGAAGAAAACAAGACAAGAAACAGAAAACAAGTACAATGACTCATAAAAGGTGTTTAAACAAACATTCTGGATACACTAGTTTCCCAACTAACAGATCTCGGAAGTCATAAAAGAAGTAAAAGAAACACTCAGACTGGCTAAAGTAAACTATCGTATTATCCTAAACAACTAAGACCTATAGTATGCTAATGCAAACAATAATTGGTTCAAGTAACAATCACATCAACTTGATGGAAATGGAAAACCAACCAATTCAGTAAAACCTTTCACCGACTCTCCACGAGAATGGGGGTTTTCCAGTATCAACCACTGCCCAGATATTGTGCTCCGAACATAGTACAGATAGCGAATGGTAGCACCCTTGTATGATGGTGGTATGACATTTGGTAGCAACGTTCTCACCACATCTAAGAAATAAATTGCACATTTCATAGATCAAATTTTCTTGAATCAAAACAACATCACGGGAACAAAAAATGGGATACTATTATAATATTGTTCATGTCATATGATCGATGCATAACATTAACAATAATCAGCAGGAAACTAATGAAACATTTTAAATGTAAAATCATGTCCCCTTTCCTCTTCCCCTCTATGATGAAGAGACCCATTATCATCAAAAACTGTATTTAAATCAGAAGAAAAAAATAAATAAAACCCCCAAAGTAACTGCATCAAAGATTAACTGGACACATTGTTTATGAGAATATGAAAATTTTCTCGAGCATGCCACTTTGATATATGCTTATTCTCATGAATGCCACTTGTTATCACTTATTCTATACATTTCCCTTAGCCTTCATTAGTCTTCTTACTGCAGTTCTCTTGACAGCCAACCAAGACTTACATACGAGTGTACATGTGAGAAGTGGCAAAGAAGTTCTCTTGACAGCCAACCAAGACTTACATACGAGTGTACATGTGAGAAGTGGCAAAGAAGTGCAGTAAGAAGACTAATGAAGGCTGAGGGAAATGAATAGAATAAGCGATAACAAGTGGCTGTTATTAGTGTAAACGATTGGTTAGCATTGTAACTACTGTAGTAGAGTTTGTTAGTCAGTTGGTAAAAGTTGAGGAGTAGTAGGATGATTTGAGGTTTAAGGGAATTAGTAATTGTATGGATTAAGCTTGGATAATCCAAGTGACGCGGTTTGGCAGTTCCTCAAACTACTGCTAATAGTTGTTATTCTTTCTCACTCTTTTAGGGCTTTCCTAGAAAAATGCTCATTCCATTTGAGTTCAAACTGTTCTGATCTTAGCCCTTCTCCAGTATAAATCTTTCAAAATCATAATAAAAATCAGAAGCATAAAATTTAGGAGACATTCAATCTTCCTCCGAGGTTACTTAGCGTTTCAAACCTAGAGGGAAGAGCAACACTGCTGATAACCTCAAGCTAAATTATCCGTCTGCTATAAAATCCGGGTTCTCGTCATGCTTATTAGACAGGCTGTTACTGTAATATCGAAAAAACCGCAAAAGGCTTCTAAAGAAGAAACTAGAAAAGAAAAGCCTTATAGCTAGAAACTGCATAAAATGAACAGCAGGGTCTGCTTGAAAGATTGACAGCTGGGTTGAGGACTACTTGTTGGTTCGATAGAACTTCAAAAGGTTTCGGCTAAATGAACTTCCAATTTTCTTTCCTCATTAATGTAAAGCCCAGAAATTGAAATCGGTCCTCTGGCCTTTGGTCTTATCGGAATTTAATCACTTCTTCTTTACAATAATTCGGACTCAAACAGAACTACAACATTGATCTGCCTCTACAAATTGATAAAATCAAATTCATCTATAAAGAAAAATCTCGAAAAAGAAGAATAAGATATATAAAATCTTACATGACTTGGTTGCCCCAGCTGAAACAATCTGATTCGACACCAGCGCCGTCGTCGATCCTTCCGCGAACACATACTCACCTGGAAAATCCAAAACAGCAGAAAATTAAACCCTAAAGTTCGGAAAATTCAGGACAAAACCAATCAAATTCTTCAAATTTACCTCTCCTCTGCTTCGATCCGGGGAGAGGCTTCTGCGTGGCGAACCACTGCGTGTCTAACTTCTCAATACCTTTGATCTCAAAGCTTAGCCGCTCGACCAAAAGCGAAAAAGCCGAGTCGCTATTGCCGCCGGGGTTTCCAATCTCGACGGTCACGACAACCGGATCGCCGGGGCCGTACACTTCCTTGTCGGTTTGGAGCTTCAGAGACGGCAAAACATCTCTCTTCGAGGCCTTCGCGTTGGCTCCTCCGCCGCCAAAAATCGAGGAAAACCTAGGCGGCAACATTTGTGCGGTTGCCGATCCAAGCTCCCGATTTTGTTTTCTGGAAGCAGAATTTGGTGGGAAATTCGGATCGAACTGTGAGCTCAGAGTCGGAACAAAAGCTGATTTTGTGTTGATGAGAACTGGAAATGGAAATGCTTTTCGGAAATGGAATTTTTGGAAGCAAATATCTGAAATTTGGTTGAATACAAAATCCAGATCTTGAAATGCAACAACGTTTCTGGTTTTTTTTTGTAGTTGACGTAGTTCACGTTGTTTTTTTTTCTTTTTCTTTTTTTTCTTTTTGGGGAGGGTGGGGGGCATTTACATTTTTTTTACCTTATATTTTGAGATTGTCAGAAAATTATGCCTTTTTTTTTTAGTTAGGAAATTATGCCTTGTGTTATGAATTATTGTACCAAAATACTTTTATATAATCTTATATTAATCTATACGGGCTAAGGGCTCGTTTGGTATTATTTTTAGATGTTGTTTTTAATTTTTTTTTGAGAAGTTACAAGAGTATTTGATAAATCCTGTTTATCTAGCCGTTTATAAAAACTACTGTCAAACATTAAAATTTGAGAAACAGGTCAGAAGTTAGAGATTATTTTTGTATAGTTACTTCTGCTGCTAATGTCAAAATTTACTAAAATAACTTTAGTAATAAAACTTAATTTTCTATTTACCCATTTTATTTTTATCCATATGAAATTTAAAAAATATTTATTTTAAATATTTATTTAAAATTTGAAAATCTTTAATAAGTATGAATTTTACTCAAATATTTTTTATAATTATTAAAATGTTTAAAAACAACAATATAAATAGAAATTTAATCATTTATTTTTTAGAAATACTTTTAATAATAAATTAAAATAATATATATTTTTATGATATTTTTGTGTAATATATTATGAATATTAACGTTAAAAATATAAATGAAATTAACTAAAAATATGTAGGATAAATTATATATATTTTGGTCATTATAGATCTTCACAATAATTTTATACATAGTTACTAAATACTTAAATTTATACTTCGGGTATTCACAACAGTTTTAGAAGAGACAAAATTACCAAACACCTACATACTTCTAATCGCAGTAACTTCTGACTAACACACATCAACAATAACAAATTTTAACAGCACATTAATGTCAAACTAACCATAAGAGCGTCTTCAACCGTGCTAACTATTTTATGTCGTTAGTTAAATAGTTAATGATTTAACTTTTATTTTAAACTTTTCTCCACTATAATCATTAGCTAAACGATTAGTTATTTTAAAGAATGTATTTCACACTAGTCAAATGAATTTTGTTATTTCATTTTTTTCTATTTTGGTGGTCATTCCTCTAATTAAATTTTGACACTTTTACTTAAGTATTTTATTCTTATTTATGTGGTCATGAATTGATAATTAGTAGAGAAACAGTCGTCGAGATAAAAAATAAAAACAACATATTTGAACTCCAAGTTAAATATAACTAGTAAGAAATGACTAATTATTTATTTTTATTATTATTATTTTATTATGTCATACAGTAATAAGTGTAAGTTTTTTTTAAATTTAATAAAATTATTTATAAGTTAAGATTTAATAAGTATTAAAATAATGCAAGTTTAGTTAAAATAGAATTTGTTTTCACAAATATCTAAAACGACGGGTCGTTTCTCTTCAATCAATACCCCATTACAACTTACAAGTCCACACTTCAAAAGCAAATGATCTCAGCGCTCCACTTTCATCTCAATGGCCAACAGGCCAAGTAAAAAAAGGAAGGATTTAGGATATTACATTGAAGAACCTCTTTCTCTATTCTTTTTTGGGACGTCAAAAGGAGTCAGCCATGGCATTGCTATCAGCTCCACCATCCTCATCTCTGCTCATCAATGGCTCATTTACATGTTCATCACCCAAACCCACATCCCTTTCTTGGGCTTCTTCCTTTCCCAAGCTTCCCATCTCCTCGATTTCTATCGCAAAATCTATTCCCACTCTCTATAAGGTAAATTATCTTCTTCCATTACTTTGCTATTATCTTCTGTTCGTTGTGTTTTTGGTCCCAAAAGTGTACTTTTGGGTTGCCCTTTTCTGGGTTTTGCGTAAAGTAGGGATTTTTTCAATACCCAGTTCATTTTTCTTGAGAAATAATCAATTCCTCACTTAAGAGGATAATTTACTGCTTAAGAATAGTCGATAACGTATTTAACTTGTATGCTGAGTGCCAAATAAGACTGTTCCATAAACGCATATTAGAATAGCAAATTTTCATATGGTTGTCTTGATTTTAGTTTTGGGGAGTTTTTGCTTGGTTTGGATAACCTTAGTTATGTAGCTAAGGCGTTTGTTTAAATTACTAGTACAATAAGAGCAAGATAATTTGAAAACAAGATGTCAGTTTAGCTGCAAACTAAACTGAGTTTAGTTGGTGTTTCATTAAAGCTTCGTTTTCCCAGTAGATTTGTTTTTGAGTGAACTGTTCATTGTTATGTGTACAGGAATATGCTATTTTCTTCATTCTTATTACTTCAGTTAGACCTTTTGGCACAAAAAGATAGATGATTAGATATTAATTGACATCCTAAAGTATCATTTTTATAATTGTGTTGCCTGGATTTGTTGATGCCTGCATATTCCTTAGGATTCTACAAAATGAATATCTCTTATATAAAGAATTAGCACCAAGTCTTCATGCTTTACGAGCCTCTTTTAATCAAGGTCATCAATTAAATTGTCATACTCGATATGATTTCTATATTTCCTGCGCATGTTGGAAGCAACACTTGTTGTGCAGTAATCAACTTCTTGATTCCTTGGATGTTCATGATGACAAACAAAGAATATTCGCGTAAAAGCTGATGGAAAGTAATCCAGTTAGTGTTGTTATCACCTACATATATATATATATATATATATATATATATATACATTGTACAATTGCTTTTAGACAGGCAAATCCTTCTTCTCTCATTCTAGCCCTAGGCACCCGCATTATGTAAGGCCTAAGATGTAATTCATAGGTTAAGTTGGAAATTAGTACGGCTGACAGTGTTGCAAATTATGTTTTGTTGATTTGATTAGCCATATGTTTCATACGTAAAAGATCAAGGGAAAAAATATTTTGACAATCTCTTGCTTCATAAGTCTTTCGTACTAGGCAACCAAATTTTGCAAGTTACAAGATGACGTATCCAGAAAAAGGTTCCAACTTGGAATTTGTATGTTGAATGAGAAATTAATAAGGTCTGTTTTGTTGATCTGATTGCACATGCTTCTTCAAATTGAAGTGAAAAATAAATATTTCATGTCTCGTGTTATGCAGGATTCTTTCATTCAAGCTGCTTGGACTCGAAGATCTCGAGGAGAGGCTGCAAAAAGACCTAGCAGAAAATCATGGAAGCAAAGGACAGACATGTATATGAGGCCATTTTTACTAAATGTTTTCTTCTCAAAGCGATTCATTCATGCGAAGGTGATGCACCGGGGCACCAGCAAAGTTGTATCAGTTGCTACCACAAATTCTAAGGATTTGAGGTATTCACTAAAATCACTTACGGATAACAGCGCCTGTAGAGTTATAGGTAATCTGATTGCAGAGAGGTCCATTGAAGCTGATGTATATGCGATGGCATATGAGCCCAAGAAGGACGAGAGAATCGAGGGCAGGCTTGGAATTGTCCTTGACACCATCAAAGAGAACGGTATCATAGTTGATGTATGAAAAGGACTTCCCCCCCATAAGACTTCTTTTTTTCCCATGCCTAAATGATAATGCACTAAATTTGGCTTCTCCAAGATATGCTAAAAGGACTATTGCTGTTCTCAAGTATCTTTCAGTGCCCCTATTGCAGTTTTGAAGTATCTTTCAGAAGATTTTACACAGGTCTATCATTAATATATCATTAGTTTATCATTGATTTACCAATGAATGGTTCATCAATAATAGACTGGTAAATTACTGATTAATATTGGTTAATGATATTGGTCTATCAGTGATAGATCATCAAGTTAATCAATGTTAAACCATAAGTCAGTAAATCACCGATTAATCATTTCTAAGAAGAATAACTTTCGTAATTTACCACCGGCAAGGATGAACCAAAGGTTAGCGTTCAATTCCAGTGAGGACTTAGCTTTGATTGTACCCTAGTGCAATTGAAAATTTGAAAACAATCATAAAAGAATCAAAGACATATTTCGAGGTGGAAACAAAAGAACTAATGTTTACTGACGATCATGATGCCTACGAGAGATACAACAGCCCTCTCATGCTCTTCCGTTCTAGTCTCTAAACATGTCACCCTAGTGATCAGTACATTTTTAGGGTAAATGAAATAGGGAAGGCAAAGTTTTTCCTCTCAATCACTGATGACCACGACGTCGAATTCAATGACCGCGGCGTTTTTTTTTTTTTTTTTTTTTTTTTTTTTTTTTTCATTAAAAAAAAAAATCTTTACATGAATAAAAAAACTAAAGAGAATGTTTTCTTCTCGGCCACCACAACAACCCAACAAGGGCCATGACACCCTGTCATGCTCTCAACTTCTAGATTTGTTGCGACCATCACCTTGCCTTTCCGAAGGATGTAGCGAACCTACCAATCTCCATTCCCGCTTGTCTGCTTCAAACGCAGATTGGAAGTAGGAAGAGGTAAGTTAGATAGAGCTCCCTCCCATGAGAGACGACATGGAGAAGAAGAGGAAAAGTTTTCTTCACTTACGTCTTTTTGTTTAGTGTAACCATGTGTAGTCTATCATGCAATTAGTTTGTTGCTTTTTCTTTTTAATTCAAACCATAATCAGAAAGTCTATAATTCATGGCCCACTAGTAGAGAATAGGTACCATTCTCCATTATTTGAATTCCCCTAAAATAAAGGATACTGGGAAATATACCAAAGGAATAAAATGACTAATTGACTTTTTCCAAAAGCATGGTCTAGAATGACTTTTAACTTAAAAGAGAAGCCGATACTTAACTCAGAAGTACCACTTGTCAATTTTCGTGCCACAGAAAATTCGCTGTAAAAGGCAAATCACTCCTCCATTATAAGGATTCGGTCTGTTTGGTATAAAGATTGAAATTAAAATAATTTGAGTCTTTTAATTTAGAATCATGATTCATAATTTGAATTATGATTCATGATTTAAATCATGATTCAGAGTGATCAGAACCTTCGTTTGAATGTGTATATGCATGATTCTAATTCTAATCTGAAATGTGATTCGAATCAGTGTTTGGTTGTCTTATTTTCTGAATTTGAATCATGACCAAAATATTGTAATTTAAAAAATTATGTAATAAATATAATTCGCTATATAATTAAAAAAAATGAAGTACTAAAAAAAATTATGCAAATAATTTAACTCAAAATTATAACAAACTAAGAAGAAATAAATGGAAAAAATGTGAATGAAATTATATAACAAGCCAGGCATATATCAAAAATGTGAGAAATATTATATTGCTAACCAAACTGATAAATAAGAAAATAACAACATTATCTACAATTCTACATCCATGTACACCTTTGTTAAAAAGTCACTCTGCAAATGACAGTGCTGAGATGCGAAAAAAACCACAAGGATTAACTGCTTTAAGCACAGTGAAATTACTGCACAAAGACTGAAGTCTTGAGCTGAATCAGGGGGGTCTTGATTTTGAATCAAGACCTAAAAAATGAATCTTAACTCAAGTCCATAACTCCAATCCATACGACACCAAACATGTTTTCAGCACATGATTTTAATCTTTTGTCCTGGATCCCCAAACCAAACGGGCCCTTAATTACTTCAACTGATTTTTTTTTTTAAGGGGAACTGAATTTTGCTATTAAAAAAGACACTTAATCGTATATTAATGATTATCGTACAGAATTTTCAATTATTTGGAATATAATATTCGTCGTCTTACTTCTACAGTTAAAACCTTTTCTTCTGAGAACTTGAAAAAAAAATAAGTAAAAATTGATGCCTACTGGGTAGTAAGAGAGAGTAAATATTATTGTGATTATAATCAGTTTAGTACTCTTAATATATAATACAATAAGGATGATAACAAAGACATATACCTCATTTTTTTTTTAAATATATAAACTACAACCTTCTAAAACAATAACCAAAATACAAAAACCTTGCACATGAAATACTGTTATATGCAGCCCACAAAAGCATAACCTGCAAGAATTATAATGATAATTTTAGTCAAGAATACCAGCTCACTGAATGATTTAAATATTTGTAGAAATTCATTTCATTAGAAATTGTAATTCCGCAAGTAGCTTTGCATGTGAAAACTAATTGGTCCCACGCCCATATCTTCTTTCTTTGATAAATGAGTCTTTTATTGTCCCATAGTCTAGCAATAAGAATTTGTATTTTATTTTCATTTTCCTTCAAACATGGAACGCAAGTGAACAATATCGCAATCCTCAGATTCTTCAAGACTACAATTAATACAGAAAACTGACAAGCTATTGCTTAATGCGATAAACTAAAGAGCGTCCTTTAATCATCAAATCATTTCTTGGCAACTCAATAAAGAATGGGAATCAAACATAAAAGATCACATTGGAGATTCCAGTGAAAAGCCTGTACATCTTAACTCTGTTATAAAAATTTATCACATGTGTATGGAGGTATTGAGTTTAACAATCACCAACTAAACTACGGTTTTGAACAAAGATATGATCAAGGAGCGATTCCTAATTGTACTAGATCAACTTGAATGACCTCGTTAACACCGGGGAATAGCATCAGAATTTCATATTCTTGAGGTTTATAATCAAGATTTCTAACAATATTCAAAATTTTACCTCAATAGACGGCACGTCTTATATCTTAGGTACAACTGCAACACTCAGTCAGCCTGCAAACACCATAAATTAGCATTAAGGAGTAAATTAGACATATTTCAAAAATCAACATCGATCGTACTCTTGTATATCATCCTTCCTTTAACAGCAGTTCATAAAATTCCTTCAGGTTCATTATTTTCCGCTTGTAAACATCTAAAGCGAGTATATATTACCTCAGCACACGGCCGTAACCCTTTACCTTCTCATTTTGTGGGGCAACAATGGCTTTAACTGACTCAAAGACCTCGCCAATAGGCCTTGCAGCATCAATCTGATTGAGAGAAAAAAAAAATCCATGGTTATGATTAATGTGCAATAATATATCACAACCCAAAGATGCTTACAATAAGAGCTACATACATATTAACACAACTTAGTAATATGAACATCACAATTACCTTTCTAACTTTTCCTTTGGAATCATAGTACTCAACCACAGGAAGACTAGACTCTAGGAAAACCTTGAACCGCTTCCTTATTGTTTCAATGTTATCATCTTCTCTTCCCTAGACAAACCCAAAATTGAAAACAAACATATTATTACATGCGGATTACAAGAAATGACATTAAAATAAACAGAAAGGATAAGAACATATACAGCATAGATAAACAGAGAGAGAGAGATCACAGCAAAATCAGAGAGATTGATAAATCACATAATCCTAACCTGGTTCCTACTCAGAAGACGCCTCTCCATCTCTTCTTCCGCACAATCAAAAAACAGGACGAATGCTGGTTCAATTTTAGTCTGCAAGTAGCCAAGAACCATTACTCAGGTCGTCATTCAACGTAAGGATCCTTAACTCTCATACATTTTCTGGTAAAGATAAAGTTACTAGAAGGGTTTGTGCAGTGGGCTTACAACTTCTTCAAATGCTGCACGATTTTCCTCATTACGAGGAAAACCATCAATAAGAAATTTGTCATTTCCACTTTCTTCCATTGCTTTTTGGAGAAGCTTAATTGTTACCTCTGAGGGAACAATCTTTCCTTCCTTGATCATGTTCTGAATCATGGTGCTTTAGCCATAAGAGAAAAGGTGTCAATATCTCTGAAAAGAAATTATCACTGCTTAAAAACAAGCTCAAATTCAAAATGTGTGTCTTGTTCAGTTTAACTAACTCAATGATAACAAGCAACACAAAAAGAAAAAGTAAATAATTAAGTTACATAAAAAAGGGGGAAAAAAAAAGAAACAAGAAACAAGAAAGCACAAACACAGAGTATGGACTTGGCTTAGCACATACAGGACAACAAAAGAGCATTTCCAACGAACGTTAATAAAGCAAGGGAAAAAGCACCTAGGAGATATCATGATTGCTTGAATTCTTCTGGAAGAGTTTGGCTGAATCAACTAGATTGTGTTGTAATGTGTCAATTGTCAACAATTATGGTACAGCTGAGTTATCAGAAGTATCTTTTCTTGATAAAAATCTTACCAGAAATTGGGTATTTTCCGTTAGTTAACTTATTTGATGATAATACCTTAACGTTACCATTTTCCTCCATCTAGCATGGCGCGTGGTTGTTAAGGTTTGACCTAACTTTTGAGCTCAAATTGCAGTATACATCACATAACCATTGAAAACAGACAGTAAGACAAAAGGCATACCCATTTTCAGATCCAGATTTTATTTCTGCTCGCAGAAGGTCACCGGCACTTAGATGTGTGTACCCAAAGTGTTCAACAATATTAGCACATTGGGTACCCTTTCCACAGCCCGGGCCACCTGACAGTCAGAGCGTCTTGGAATCAGAGGACACCTAGCTTGGAATGATACATGTAATTTAACCATTTACCATACACTTTGACAAAATTTGGAAAAAGTGCTTACCCAGTACAAAAACAACCGTAGGCTTCTTTTCAGCTAAGCTTCCATTAGCATCCTGAGACAGAAAATTAAACGTAAAAAGCATAAGGATCTTCAATTGAATCAAGCTTTTGTGAACCACTAATCTTTTATTTCCTGTTGAGAATCAATT